CCAAAATTAAACAAATCCAATATTAGTATTATTATCAAAAAATGAGTAGTATATTAGGTACACCTTCCAAAGAATTTAATCGAAATAAATTTAGAGATCTTTTTTATAAGGCCAAATCCCGCAAAGAACTCCAACCAGCTTTAACCTATTTATTAGGATACTTTGCATGTGGAGAAACCGGTGTTTTTAAATGGGTTCCTTCTCTTAAGACCTTCAAGCATTTTAATAAAAAGGATGCATGTGAGTCTTTTATCCAGAATGAAACAGCAGAATTTGATCATGGCGATTGGGTAGAAAAGTTTAATATACAAAACTGGTTCTTTAAGGAAACGCCTATCTTCATTATTGACGTTAATCCAACTAAACCACTAACTTATCAACATCCAATATATGAAGAATTTATTATTAATAATTTTCCGGGATTTCTTCATTCCAACCCACCTCCATTCCATCAATTTAGCAAAGAAATTCGTAATCAGGTAAATTTAATTCTTAACCATATGAAAGAAGTTCTCTGTTCATCAGTTAAAGAGCAAGAACTCTATATGATGGGATTAGTTCTACGAATAGCAATTGGCCAGAAAATGCAAAAATCAATGTTCCTTTATTCTGGTCCAGGAACAGGTAAAACAATGCTTACATGGTTCCTCCGAGTAATGGTCCTTGGCTCAAAGATTACTATGAAAACTGCTAATGAAAGAATTATTACAGGACAATTTAACAAAGAATTAGAAGGTAGGGTTTTATTAGTTCTTGAAGAAATGTCTAACTCAAAATCCACTGATTGGATTACTTTTGCAAATCGGCTCAAAGACTTTATTGATAGTGATACTTTGATGATAGAAGAAAAGCATAAGACTCGATATACAGTTACTAATATTACAAATTTAATTATTAACAGTAATAATAGTAAAACAATTCGTCTAGATAAAAATGACCGAAGATATTTCATTCCAGATATCTCGGAAAAGTATGTTGAAAATGGAATTGGAATGGATCATTATTATGCCCCACTGGATAAAGCTATAAAAAATCCAGAAGTTGGAAAAGCTTTCTATTCTTATGCATTGGAATATGTTAAACTTAATCCAGATTTTGATGAACGCAAAATTCCAATGAGTAAAACTAAGCTAATGATGACAAGCAGGGATATTAACCCAATTCATGAGTTTATAAAGCAGGAATATTTATGCAAGTCTTTGGGTCTTGATTTGTCTTCTGCATACCTTTATAATACATATAAAAACTGGTTTCGGGAAATGTTTGGCATCAAAAAAAGACCACCTATTGTGCAGGAATTTACTCATGCAATGGTAGGTCTAGGGGTAAAACCTAAGTCAAAAAGAGTAGGAGATCGAAAAGCCAATAAAAAGATGCAATGGTATTCAGCTTCATATAATGATCTTTATACCATATTCCAGAAAAAGAATATGATTGATGAAGCCGAAAATATCAATGAACCAGAGGGATACCAACATACAGAGAGTATAGGATTATCATTGAAATCCCCTGAAATTTTCCCATCAGAAGAAGCCCCTCCTACTAATTCTACTAATTCAATTCCAGAGACTGGTGATTCGGAATTTGATGAAGAAGTTTATGAAT